ATTATTATTTATGCTACAAGTATTATTATTATGTGTTGCAGTTAATAGTTTACTAATAGACTGACGACGCGCCGCTAAACTATTATTAGCACTGGCTGATGTGGGAGCCGATGTGGAACATAAATATGAACTATTAGCTGTAGCTGGTCCGGTGGCACAGACATTGGCCGATGAAATGGCAGAGGATATAAAACACGATGTTGATGACGAGCAAGCGGCGGCCGCATTATTCAGTAGCGATGAGAAATGATTTTGCTGATGCAAAAGATGGGAAGGACGCTGATGATGATTGTACGACGATGAAGAAGTGTGTAATTTAAGGTTTGCAATCGATGAGGAAAAGGAAAAATGTTGTTGTTCGACATCGACCGCAGCATTACAGGCCGATGCCGCCGACAACGAGGGTGTAGGCGAGCAGGCGGCATTCAATGTATTTAGAGTAGGACTAGTTGTGGCATTAGCCGTTTGTGTGGCACATTCACAATCACAGTTACATACAGGCGACATAGATGATGTTAGCAAATCATAATCACGTTCCGATTCTTCATTAGAGGAAAAATTCAAACAACTCCCCGAAGGGCATGCCGAACAAGATGTCGTTGTGGTATCACGACTATTTGAAAGATTTGATGATTTTCCCGTCAATTCGGAGTGTGTGCTAATAGTAGTAGTGTTATTATGTGTGTTGATGGTACATTCATCAGGCGGACCAGGACCTTTTGGGATTTTTTTTGTTTTGTTTTCATTTTGTTTGGTTTATAAGTTTTTCAATACAATCACGCATTCATTACATTTATAGTTTATATAAAGTATATTTATAAATATGTGGTTGTATTATTAAAAAATTTCTTAATTCTTAATATTAGTTAGATTAATCTAGTTGTATAATAATAATGTCGGAGGGGTAAATAGAATAACAATTTGGTATTAAAACACTTCTTGTTCCCAACAAAAAATATGCTGAACTTCCAGCGAAATAACATGTTGCATGTTAAATTTTTCCTAGAACTAGTTCCCAGAGTGACAATTTCGAATAAAGAACAACCATTAAAGATTTGCTTAAGAATAGTTCTATATAGGAAGAATATTGGCTATTAACTAGTCTATATAATAGACCTGGCAATAGACTAGTACTTACTCAAATCCAGACTAATTCTTGGACTTGTTTATGGGCTAGTTTATTGACTATTCTATGGACTGGTCTATAAATAAGTCTATGGACTATGTACTTTATTTACTGGGCTATGGAAAGATCTATAGACTAGTCTATTCATTGTTCTATGAAATAGTCTATAGACTTGTGTATTGAATAGTTTATGGACTGGTCTATTGACTAGTATATTGTCTAATCTATGGACTAGTGCGTGAACTTGGTTTTTAACTAGTCTATTGATTGAACTGTGGAACTATATTGGTCTAGAACTGAACTGGAACTGAACTGGAACTGAACTAGAAGTGAACTAGAACTGAACTAGAACTGAACTAGAACTGAACTAGAACTGAACTGAACTAGAACTGAACTAGAACTGGACAAGAACTGAACAAGAACTGAACTAAAACTGAACCAGAACTGAACCAGAACTGAACCAGAACTAGAATTGGACTAGAACTGAACTAGAACTGAACTAGAACTGAACTAGAACTGAACTAGAACTGAACTAGAACTGAACTAGAACTGAACTAGAAATGAACTAGAACTGAACTAGAACTGAACTAGAACTGAACTAGAAATGAACTAGAACTGAACTAGAACTGAACTAGAACTGAACTAGAACTGAACTAGAACTGAACTAGAACTGAACTAGAACTAGAACTGAACTAGAACTGAACTAGAACTGAACTAGAACTGAATTAGAACTGAACTAGAACTGAACTAGAACTGAACTAGAACTGAACTAGAACTGAACTAGAACTGAACTAGAACTGAACTAGAACTGAACTAGAACTGAACTAGAACTGAACTAGAACTGAACTAGAACTGAACTAGAACTGAACTAGAACTGAACTAGAACTGAATTAGAACTGAACTAGAACTGAACTAGAACTGAACTAGAAATGAACTAGAAATGAACTAGAACTGAACTAGAACTGAACTAGAACTGAACTAGAACTGAACTAGAACTGAACTAGAACTGAACTAGAACTGAACTAGAACTGAACTAGAACAGAACTAGAACTGAACTAGAACTGAACTAGAACTGAACTAGAACTGAACTAGAAATGAACTAGAAATGAACTAGAACTGAACTAGAACTGAACTAGAACTGAACTAGAACTGAACTAGAACTGAACTAGAACTGAACTAGAACTGAACTAGAACTGAACTAGAACTGAACTAGAACTGAACTAGAACTGAACTAGAACTGGACTAGAACTGAACTAGAACTGAACTAGAACTGAACTAGAACTGAACTAGAACTGAACTAGAACTGAACTAGAACTGAACTAGAACTAGAACTGAACTAGAACTGAACTAGAACTGAACTAGAACTGAACTAGAACTGAACTAGAACTGGACTAGAACTGAACTAGAACTGAACTAGAACTGAACTAGAACTGAACTAGAACTGAACTGGAACTAGAACTGAACTAGAACTGAACTAGAACTGAACTAGAACTGAACTAGAACTGAACTAGAAATGAATTAGTGTATGGACCAATTTATGGATTACTTTAGTGAATAGTCTATTGACTAGCTTATGGGCTAGTCTATTGACTAGACTATGATCTATAGAGTAGTCTATGAAGTCTATTGACCAGTGTATGAAGCTGACTATCCTCTAGTTTATTGACTAATCTAGGAAAAAATCTATGGATTAGTCTGTAACTAGTATAATGACTATAGTCTATTACCGGATTTATTGACCATTCTATGGACTTATTAACCTGTACTGAAAAAAGTACGTTAGTACAGAATTTTCCATTCCTGTAGTCAATTGGAAGTTCATATTTTTGCTGGGTTACCTATGAAAAACCTTTTTTATCTTAAATATTCTGCTACTTCGATTAATATGTTTAATTAATTTAATTACAATGATAAGCAAAATAACTTAACAACAACGCTTTAACGCCTGCCGTCATTATTGTGTTCTAAAATTAGCCCTGCTTAATTACAAACCTGTATAAATTTCAAAAAACTTAATTTGTTCAAAAAAAATAATAAAAAAAAAACAAAATAATACAGTAAAAAGTCGAAAAAAATTGAAAACAAGAAAAATAAATCTCAGTGTAAAAGCATGTTGGCTCTGTTTTTCGACATAAACAACAACAAACAAAATGTTGCTAAACACAAGAAACTTTAGAAAATTTTAAATAAATACAAGGCTATAGAGAAGAAATATGTTTTAAAAATGGAGGCAACTTAAAATTAATTATAAATAAACAATAAAATTATAAATTTATATAAAATATGTAAAAAATTGTAACAAAACAAATCACATTTATTAACACATACACACTCACAAACAACACTGAAGTTTTTACTCATTTTTTTTACACACACAAAAAAAGTTTTACAATAAATATTTGGATATTTATAACGGTTTTTTTTTTTTCAAAATTCAAAACAATAAAGTAACAAAACTTAAATATGTAGGTAACACACATAAATAAATGAATAAAGTTTAATGAAAGTTTTATATTGCTATTTTTGTTGTAATTGTTATTAATTATTTCTTTTTTTTATTGTCATTATTTTAGTTTAGGTATTGAAAGAAGTTCGATTTACATGATTTAAAAACTAATTGTTTTCCAACATATAGAAAACATTGGAAACTTAAAGGAACAAATTAAAAAGAACAAAATATATGATTATTTTTAAATATATATGTATATATGTATATATTTATTTTATTTTTTGGGTGAAACTTAAAATATAACATGAAAACGTAACAATTAAAGAAATATTTGTTAAATAGAAAAGTTACAAGTCATAAGTACTAATAGAAGGGTTGTTAAAGGATTAATTAACTTTTTTCTTCCAATAGTTGAAAACAAAGTGTGTTAGTGTAAGAGTCATTAACGACTAGAGGTGTTTAAACAATATAATATTCAAATGATTGTTAATAATTTCTTTTATAAAAAATCATAGCTAGCGACCTTGGTTTTATTAATTGTTTTATACTTTGTTTTCTAAGATCAATAAACAAATTGTTGTTTTCACTTAAATTGGGTTGATTAAAACATTATTATTTGCCCTTTAGTTCAAAAATGCAAGACTCCTTAAGATAAATATAAGGACTAAAGAACAGACTATAGACCATACAGACTAAACTATAGACTAGACTAGACTATAGACTAAACCATAAGCAAGACTATAAACTAGACTAAAGACTAAATTATAGACTAGACTATAGACTATACTATAGACTAGACTATAGACTAGACTATAGACTAGACTATAGACTAGACTAAAGACTAGACTATAGACTAGGCTATAGACTAGACTATAGACTAGACTATAGACTAGACTATAGACTAGACTATAGACTAGACTATAGACTAGACTATAGACTAGACTATAGACTAGACTATAGACTAGACTATAGACTAGACTATAGACTAGACTATAGACTAGACTATAGACTAGACTATAGACTAAACTATAGACTAGACTAAAGACTAGCCTATAGACTAAACTATAGACTAGATTATAGACTAGACTATAGACTAGTCTAAAGACTAGACTAAAGATTAGTCTAAAGAATAGACTAAAGACTAGACTAAAGTCTAGACTAAAGACAAGACTAAAGACTAGACTAAAGACTAGACTAAAGACCAGACTAAAGACTAGACTATAGACTAGACTATAGACTAAACTACAGACTGGACTTAATAATAGACTATAAACTAGAGTATAAACTAGAGTATGGACTAGAGTATATACTACACTATAGACTAGACTATAGACCAGACTACAGACGAGACTATAGACTAGACTATAGACTAGACTATAGACTAGACTGTAGACTAGACTATAGAATAGACTATAGACTAGACTAAAGACTAGACTATAGACTAAACTATAGACTAAACTATAGACTAAACTATAGACTAAACTATAGACTAAACTATAGACTAGATTATAGACTAGACTAGACTATAGACTAGTCTAAAGACTTGACTAAAGATTAGTCTAAAGAATAGACTAAAGACTAGATTAAAGTCTAGACTAAAGTCTAGACTAAAGACAAGACTAAAGACTAGACTAAAGACTAGACTAAAGACCAGACTAAAGACTAGACTTTAGACTAAACTACATAATAAACTATAGACCATAAAACAGACTATGGACTAAACCATCGTCTAGACTATAAACTAGACTATAGACTACACTGTAGACTAGACTAAATACTATACTAGACTATAGACTAGACTATAGACTCGATTATAGACTAGACTATAGACTAGACAATAGACTAGACTACAGACTATAGACTAGATTATAGACTCGACTATAGACTACACTATAAACTAGACTAGACTATAGACTAGACTATAGACTAGACTATAGACTAGACTATAGACTAGACTATAGACTAGACTATAGACTAGACTATAGACTAGACTATAGATTAGACTATAGACTAGACTATAGAATAGACTATAGACTAGACTATAGACTAGACTATAGACTAGACTATTGACTAGACTATAGACTAGACTATAGACTAGACTATAGACTAGACCATAGACTAGACTATAGACTAGACTATAGACTAGACCATAGACTAGACTATAGACTAGACTATAGACTAGACTATAGACTAGACTATAGACTAGACTATAGACTAGACTATAGACTAGACTATAGACTAGACTATAGACTAGACTATAGACTAGACTATAGACTAGACTATAGACTAGACTATAGACTAGACTATGGACTAGACTATAGACTAGAGTATGGACTAGACTATAGACTAGACTATGGACTAGACTATAGACTAGACTAATTACTAGACTAAAGATTAGACTAAAGATTAGTCTAAAGAATAGACTAAAGACTAGACTAAAGACTAGACTAAAGACTAGAATAAAGACTAGAATAAAGACTAGAATAAAGACTAGACTAAAGACCAGACTAAAGACTAGACTATAGACTAGACTATAAACTAGACTATAGACTAAACTACATAATAAACTATAGACCATAAGACAGACTATGGACTAAACTATCGTCTAGACTATAAACTAGACTATAGACTACACTGTAGACTAGACTAAATACTATACTAAAGCCTACACTACAGACCAGACTATAGAATAGACTATAGATCAGACTATAGAATAAACTATATACTCGACTATAAACTAGACTAAAGACTAGACTATAAACTAGACTAAAGACTAGACTATAGACTGGAATATAGACTAGACTATATACTAGACGATAGACGACACTATAGACTAGACTATAGACTAAACTACATACTGGACTTAAGAATAGACTAGAGTATAAACTAGAGTATGGACTAGAGTATATACTACACTATAGACAAGACTATAGACTAGACTATAGACGAGACTATAGACAAGACTATAGACTAGACTAGACTAGACTATAGACTAGACTATAGACTACTATAGACTAGACTATAGACTAGACTATGGACTAGACAATAGACTAGACTATACACTAGACTATAGACTAGACTATAAACTAGACTATATACTAGACTATAGACTAGACTATAGACTAGATTATAGACTAGACTATAGACTAGACAATAGACTAGACTACAGACTAGACTATAGACTAGAATATAGACTCGACTATAGACTAGACTATAAACTAGACTAGACTATAGACTAGACTATAGACTATACTATAGACTAGACTAGACTATAGACTAGACTATAGACTAGACTATAGACTAGACTATAGACTAGACTATAGACTAGACTATAGACTAGGCTAAAGACTAGGCTATAGACTAGACTAAAGACTAGGCTATAGACTAGGCTATAGACTAGACTATTGACAGGCCTATGCCCTACACTATAGACTAGACTATGAGCTAGCAATTCTAAATAGGGTGGCCTTCTGTGTTTCTAGTTCCTCAAAACAGTTAAAAAAAAATATACTCGTAGAAAAAGTGTGTAATGTGTGTTAATGTTTGTGGTGTTTTTTTTTGTATGTTGTTGTTTTTCTTTTTGTACGCATAATAAATATTCACATAATAATTTAATATTTACTAATATAATAGAAAAAGAAGTTTGTTTTTTTTATAAAATTTTGTACAAAACATAAAAAATTCAAAACAAAAATATCACTATTTCACAGATAAATTAAATTAAAAACAATTAACAGTTTCATATTTTGTTTCGTTAAATAAAACAAAAAATAGTTTTAAAAAAGCCAACTCTCTCTATAACCAATTGGCCATAGAAGAGAGAAATAATGTAAAATGAGTTGGAGGGTGCTAATGAGGTTAAAAAATTATAAACAAAATTATAATAATAATAATAATAAAAACTCAAATTTAAATTAAAGTAATTAAGAAAATTATAAAATTTAAATTAATTAAATAAATAAAAATAAAAACCTAATGTTTTCAATTTGAAAAACTTTTAGTTTTTAAATCTTCTCTAAAAATATTAAAATATTAATATAGAATCATGGCTGTTAGTATTTAGATATAAAATTTTAATAAACTACTTTATTTTATCGTTTTTAGTTAAATTAACAAAATTAGAACATTCACATGATAAAAGACTTCTAGACTAAATTACCAAAGAAAATTTTATCAAATTGTTTAATGTTTAATTTGTTAGTTTTTTTTTAATAAGTTAATCATTCTCAAAAAAAAAGTAAACAAATTTAGTTAAACTACAAAAAATCTATTTTTATCTATATAAATCACGTTGTCATACTTAGTGAATAAACTACTTTTATTAGAGATTCATTCATTTCTTGGACTTACTGTTATTGGCGAGTAAATTTTCATGCAATTTATCTCTTTGATCCTCCAAAACTTCACCCAAATAGGCGGCAACCTTGCGGGTAATTTGCTCAACATAAGTATCAAGTTACCCAAATCATCGGAAAGACCCACCAATTGATCGAGAGTACCAACCTTGAGTGAATAAAAATAAAACAAGTTTATTTATTTGTTATTTTTGAAACGGGAATAACGTATTAAGGGTTCACATTTAATTTTATTACTCAACAATGATTTATTTTTGGAATTAAAAACTTACCTTCAAATCGGGTATATGAAATTTATAGTTGTTACATAAATTATTTTGTTTGCTGGTTAGATTATTCATGGCATCAAAAGTTTGCTGGCAGGTTTTGTCGCCAGGGGCTGAGATAAGCCAGTACTCGGACATCTTGTTGATTTCTATAAAAAAATTAAATTTTATAATTAAATTTAAATGTATGTTCGTAATCAATAAACTGGAGTACTGAACCTAATTGCACAAAAGCTCATATTCTAGTTCAGTTCTAGTCCAGTTCTAGTTTAGTTCTAGTTCAGTTCTAGTTCAGTTCTAGTTCAGTTCTAGTTCAGTTCTAGTTCAGTTCTAGTTCAGTTCTAGTTCAGTTCTAGTTCAATTCTAGTTCAGTTCTAGTTCAGTTCTAGTTCAGTTCTAGTTCAGTCTAGTTCAGATCTAGTTCAGTTCTAGTTCAGTTCTAGTTCAGTTCTAGTTCAGTTCTAGTTCAGTTCTAGTTCAGTTCTAGTTCAGTTCTAGTTCAGTTGAAGTTCAGTTCTAGTTCAGTTCTAGTTCAGTTCTAGTTCTAGTTCAGTTCAGTTCTAGTTCAGTTCTAGTTCTGTCCGAGATCAGTTGTAATTTAGTTCCAGTTAAGTTCTATTTTAGTTCTGCTTCAGTTCTAGTTCAGCATTAGTTCAGTTGTAGTTCAGTTCTAGTTCAGTTCTAGTTCAGTTCTAGTTCAGATCTAGTTCAGTTCTAGTTCAGTTCTAGTTCAGTTCTAGTTCAGTTCTAGTTCAGTTCTAGTTCAGTTCTAGTTCAGTTCTAGTTCAGTTCTAGTTCAGTTCTAGTTCAGTTCTAGTTCAGTTCTAGTTCAGTTCTAGTTCAGTTCTAGTTCAGTTCTAGTTCAGTTCTAGTTCAGTTCTAGTTCAGTTCTAGTTCAGTTCTAGTTCAGTTCTAGTTCAGTTCTAGTTCAGTTCTAGTTCAGTTCAGTTCTAGTTTAGTTTCTAGTTCAGTTCTAGTTCAGTTCTAGTTCAGTTCTAGTTCAGTTCTAGTTCAGTTCTAGTTCAGTTCTAGTTCAGTTCTAGTTCAGTTCTAATTCAGTTCTAGTTCAGTTCTAGTTCAGTTCTAGTTCAGTTCTAGTTCAGTTCTAGTTCAGTTGTAGTTCAGTTCTAGTTCAGTTCTAGTTCAGTTGTAGTTCAGTTCTAGTTCAGTTCTAGTTCAGTTCTAGTTCAGTTCTAGTTCAGTTCTAGTTCAGTTCTAGTTCAGTTCTAGTCAGTTCTAGTTCAGTTCTAGTTCAGTTCTAGTTCAGTTCTAGTTATGAATTTTTTATTAAAAATTCTAAATTTTACTAAATATTCGAGTTTTCACCAAAAATCTGAATTTTCATTAAAAATCCAAAATTTTATTAAATATTCGTATTTTTGACACAAATTTGAATTTTCAATAAAAAATCCGTATTTTCATTAAAAATACGCGTTATACATAAAATTCAAATTTCTGCAAAAAATTCATATTTTCACAAAAATAAAATTTTACTAAATTTCCACCAAATATCGCAATTTTCTTTAAAAAAAGACATTTTCACCAAAAATACGTATTTTTTATTAAAATTTCATATTTTCACATTCTATTGAAATCATTATAACCACAAACATATTCCATTCAATTTACATTTATTTTCACTATTTAAGGTCATTTCCTAATTTCTTTTCCCTAATTGAAACTTAGTGAAAATTTTATTTATATGTAATTTTAAAATAGGAATTATTTTATAGATTTATTCATTTCCTTGAATAAAGTCTATAATTTAAAATATTTAAATTAACCACACAAATAGGAAGAGATTTGCACAGTGGTAGAATCAGTTGGAAATATTAGAGAAGAGAAAAGAAATGTGTTACGACTGATGATAATAAAGTAATAACTTGTGTAAATATTTATTATTTTTTGTTTAACAAAATTATCTACAAACCAAAATTACAATGTACAGTTTACATACTATATGTACATATGAAAAAACCAGAAACACATTCATTTGAATTAGTATTTATGAACAACATATTAACCTTGCAGTTCTACATGGTGTCAATGTATCTCCTAGATGATTTTTAACAACTTGGTCGGAACGAATCAAATGCAGAGTAAGATAATATTGTAAGATAATAGCAGAATGTCAATTACAACTACAGTGGCTCTAAGGAATCAAGTGAAAAGTAAATGACAGAGAAAGAATCAATTGATATTTGCCTAGAACCAACATATCTCAATATATACTTCCAACCAAAATATCTCTCAGTTCTAGTTTCAGTTTTAGTTCAGATCTAGTTATTTCTAGTTCAGATCTAGTTCAGTTCTATTCAGTTCTTGTTCAGTTCTTGTTCAGTTCTAGTTCAGTTCTAGTTCAGTTCTAGTTCAGTTCTAGTTCAGTTCTATTTCAGTTCTAGTTCAGTTCTAGTTCAGTTCTAGTTCAGTTCTAGTTCAGTTCTAGTACAGTTCTAGTTCAGTTCTAGTTCAGTTCCAGTTCAGTTCTAGTTCAGTTCTAGTTCAGTTCTAGTTCAGTTCTAGTTCAGTTCTAGTTCAGTTCTAGTTCAGTTCTAGTTCAGTTCTAGTTCGGTTCGGTTCTAGTTCAGTTCTAGTTCAGTTCTAGTTCAGTTCTAGTTCAGTTCTAGTTCAGTTCTAGTTCAGTTCTAGTTCAGTTCTAGTTCAGTTCTAATTCAGTTCTAGTTCAGTTCTAGTTCAGTTCTAGTTCAGTTCTAGTTCAGTTCTAGTTCAGTTCTAGTTCAGTTCTAGTTCAGTTCTAGTTCAGTTCTAGTTCAGTTCTAGTTCAGTTCTAGTTCAGTTCTAGTTCAGTTCTAGTTCAGTTCTAGTTCAGTTCTAGTTCAGTTCTAGTTCAGTTCTAGTTCAGTTCTAGTTCAGTTCTAGTTCAGTTCTTGTTTTGTTCTTGTTTTGTTCTTGTTTTGTTCTTCTATTCTATCTATCTATCTATCTATCTATCTATCTATCTATCTATCTATCTATCTATCTATCTATCTATCTATCTATCTATCTATCTATCTATCTATCTATCTATCTATCTATCTATCTATCTATCTATCTATCTATCTATCTATCTATCTATCTATCTATCTATCTATCTATCTATCTTCTATCTATCTACCTATCTATCTATCTATCTATCTATCTATCTATCTATCTATCTCTCTATCTATCTATCTATCTATCTATCTATCTATCTATCTATCTATCTATCTATCTATCTATCTATCTATCTATCTATCTATCTATCTATCTATCTATCTATCTATCTATCTATCTATCTATCTATCTATCTATCTACCTCTATCTATCTATCTATCTATCTATCTATCTATCTATCTATCTATCTATCTATCTATCTATCTATCTATCTATCTATCTATCTATCTACTTGTTCCGCTGGGACATCTCCGAACTGTAGGGAACTTGTAAAAACAAATAGTAAATACATACACACATCGCCTTACAACAACAATAACTCAATAAAGTAAAACAACATAATCAAAAGTTGTGGCTGCAACAAAAAAGGAAAAAACAAAATAAAAACAAATAAGAGGTGAAAATATTTTAAAAATTTATAAACTTTTCTATAAAAAGAGAAAAGAAATAAAAACTTAAATTTAAAAGTCAAGTTCAATATTTAATTGTTTCTTTTTTGTTATTTTTTCAAGGCCACAAGTTTTAAATCCTTTGCATTAAATATAGAAACGGAAATTGAATTTATTTTTTTTTTTTTCCTCTAACAGACAGCAATCACTGATAAATTATTGTGGCGTTTGAGTTTGTCTAGGGACTTTTTGGTTTTTATTTTCAGTATTTAATATTTTATATGTGAATGTATGCAGGAGGAGCTAGCTGGCGGCCACTGGCTTATCCACAATGTGTAATGAATGCAACAATGAAAAAGAAGGTTTGTTACCAAAGACTTGAAATCAATAATAAATATTAATTATTTAAATGACAATTTAATAAAATGTCATTTTAAATAATTTAATAAACTAACAGCAAGCGTTAAACAAAGTAACATATGGACAAATAAATTTTAAGAAAAAAGGTTAATAAAACATTAAAGAAATAAAAAAATACCTACTCTTTTATAAATAACTGTTAATTATAATTTCTTAAATTGACCGTTATTGATAACATGCTCTAATTTAATAGAAGTTTTTTAACATTTTCTTTTATGTTGAAAAATATTTGCCACAAAATTAACATTAAATTTTATTTATAAACAATTGACACTAATT